GTGCCCTTTACAGGCTCAAAAGACCCAATCGACCGCTTGGGGTCGGGTGCTTCTTCGGTGACCTCCTTTCTGATGGTCGCGAGCTCTTTGGAGGCGATAATTGCCATGATGTGTTCGCAGCACTCGACTTCGCACTCGTAGGCGCACTGGAAGGAGGTGCCAATGGTGATGACCCCACATGGACCCAACATCTTCAGCTTTAGATAGGTGTAGTTGGGGACGACCATGAACTTCGCATAGCATGGACGTCCTAGGATGGCGTGGTAGGTTCCATGGAACCCTACCACCTCGAAGGTAAGTGTCTCCGTCCTATAATTGGACGGAACCCCAAAGGTGATGGGCAGATCGATCTGCCCGAGTGGCAAGGCCTGCTTTCCAGGCACGATGCCGTGGAAAGGCGCCTTGGTCGGCCAAACACACGCTCGGTCGATGCCCATGGCGTCGAGCATTTTAGCGTACATGATGTTGAGGCCACTGCCTCCATCCATCAGTACCTTGGTGAGCCGCTTCATGCCGATGATCAGGTCAACCATGAGCGAATATCATCCTAGCTGTGGGACGCTTTTCTAGGTGGTCGGTCTGATCAAAGGTTATGGTGGGCTCCAACTATCGGAGGAAGGAAGGCGCGGCTGGCTCGGCCGTATAGACTTCACGGCACGCAAGCTTCTGGCAACGCTTGGTGTTGTAGGCCACTGACCCTCCAAAGATCATGAGACAGCCATCTAGTGCCAGAAATATGCCATCCTTCCCCTTGGCCCCATCTGCTGCTGGCTTAGGGTCCTTCCTATGCTCCCCCTTGTTGGAGCCTTCAGGATAAGAACCGCTTCATCAGGCCGCAATCATTGTATAAATGCTTGATGGGGGAAGGCATGGTTCGGGCATGGCCCTTCGAGTGGCTTCTCGAAGTGGTCCGGGGTACCCTCGGTGGGCTTCTAAACCCCCTTGCGGTCGGCGGTGGCCATGAGCGAGTCGTTGCACCGCTGCTTATTCTTCTTCTTGTTGGGACGGTTGGAGGCACCTTCGCCGGTGTCCTTATCCCATTTTGCCTTGCCCTTGAGGCGGTCGAAGATCGCTCTGACCGCCTCCTCACCTGAGGCATGGCTAGTGGCGATGTCGAGGTGCTCCTTGGTGGTTCATGGGCCCTTACGTCCTAGCTAATGGACCAGGGACTCGCAGGTGGTCCCAAACAGGAAAACTCCTATGACATCGGCATCGGCGACGTTGGGTAGCTAGTTGCACTGTCGGGAGAAGCACCGAATGTACCCACGAAAGATTTCCCTGGCCTTCTGTTAGCAGTTTTTGAGATCTCATGGGTTCCCAGGACGCGCATATGTGCCCTGGAAGTTTCCCACGAACATCTCTTTCAGGTCCGCCCAACTTTGGATTCTGTTGGGTGGAAGGTGTTCCAACCACGTTCGCGCCAAATAGGCTAGGAACAATGGAAGGTTGCGGATAATGAAATCATCATTATCTACTCCACCGGCTTGGCAAGCAAGTCGGTAATCCTTGAGCCACAGTCTGGGGTTCGTTTCCCCAGAGTATTTCGGGTTGTTGGTCGGCGGTCGGTACCGTGCCGGAAAGGCAGCATTCAGGATGTGTCGGCCAAAGGCTTGAGGTCCCGGCAAGTCAGGGCTTGGGCTTTGATCCTCGCCGCTATCATAGCATCTGCCACGACGAGGATGGTAGCCGCGGCTTGCCCCTTTCCTCGCATCGCCGCGGGTACGTCTGCGGGTGTCGAGGGTATCGCACGCGTCACGGTGAAGGACGAGACGCTCATGCACCAGGACCGCAACGCGTGGCCTGCTACCTTGCCGTGCCTCATGGACTGATACATCCATGTTGGGTAGTGAGCTTTTGGCCTGCTATGCTGCCGCACGCTCGTGTAGCATGCGAATCTCGTGATGGGCCCAACGATCCTCGGGCATCGTGGGCCTCGGAAGCCCCCGGAGCAAGGCTATCGCGGCAGCGATGTTCTGGCTTGCCCAGGTGAAGTGTGGGAGGGCTTCATTGTCTTTGATGATCCTCTGGTTCATGTCGCGGGCCACGGCGTGCGCACGCCCGCCGTCTCTATGGCGCTCGATCTCTCGCTCCAGTTCTTCACATTCCTGCTCGAGCTGGACTCGTGCTTCCTCGATCTCCTGGCACCGGGCCTTCAGCTGCTCTACCCATAGGCGAGCAGGGGCCCCTGCATCCCTCTCGACCTCATCATCAAAGCCATTCGTTGGGGTAGCCTCTCCCTCGTGGATGCTTTCTATGTGTCCCTCGGGGGTACCTACCATGAAACATTCATGAGAGGGGTGATGGCTCCCCCTGCTGGAGTCAGAGCTGGAGGGCGACTCCAATTCTCCTATGAGGAGGTTGTGGAAAGCTTTCCCGACATATTTGATCATCCCCATGAACTCATCGTTCATAGGGGATGGAGGAGTGCATTGTGCCACAAGGTGGCCAATGGTCTCCGCGGTGTTGCGTAGACCGGACGGGAGCATCGTCGGGGCGCTCCGGAAGAGGTATTCTGAGGAGAGTGGCACTCCCCCGGCAAGTTATGTCATGACATTGGCGAACGAGAAGGTGAGGTGGCGCAGGTCCTCTCGGGATGGTCGGGGTCCCAGGAAGACGCTGAGCTGGCGCTCTAGCCTCCCTTAATCGAAGCCGAGGGGCTGGTCACTCCCGGGGGCGCGGGCCTCTGGTGCGTGCAGCTGCAGCTCCTCAAGTGCCTCGGCGATCGTGTCGAGGCTGGCGGAGTGGAGAGGTTGGACGGTGGTGGGAGCCTACGCCAACTCTGCCTCCGTTGTGACGATGAAGTCTAGGTTCCCGAAGCACACGTGCGCGCCTAGGACCCAGCTGACGTCGTGACTAGCCATCCGAGGCCTGGTGTGGACGTTGAGACACGCAAAAGGCCCCTACCTGGTGCGCCAACTGTCGGTGTTTCGAGTTACCACCGATGAGTAAAATTCTAGTATAGCACATCTGGCTCGGATGGTGTGCTTAGAGGACATGAGGTTTATACTGGTTTGGGCAGAAAGTCCCTACGTCCAGTTTGTCGCTGCTGCTCGTGTTACCGACACTGAAAGTTTATAGTAGGGGTTACAAACGAGCGAGAGAGGGACAGGTCCCAAGTCTCCGATGTGCGTGTGCTCCTAAGGCGTGTTAGGGCGTGTGTTTTGATGTCTACAGCGGTGTAGAGTGGTGAACCGCCCCCTTCCTAGGACGTCCTGCTTCCCCTTTTATAGACGAAGGGGAAGAGCAGGTTATACAGAGAGAAAGAGGAAGAAGAGGCAAGGAGAGGAAGGCTTCCAGGACCGTCGGGCCTTTCTTTTTCATTGTGCAGGTCCTACCGACACTGCAGATGGTGATAGGGATGGCTCCACGCCGGGCGCCTGTTCACCGTTGATACCACGCCCTGGCGTTGTCAGCGGGTCGTGACGTCCCATTCTGCCCCGGCGGGCGACGCAGCGAACCAGCGTGCTGGTCAGCGGTCGTACATGGAGTAGGCAGCATAGTGACCACGCGTCCATCACTGTTGGTGATGTGAGTTCCCTAGAGTGACATGTCGTAGGCACGGGTCATTTTGACATGTGCCCGCTCCCTGCACGATGCCAAAAGTTTGACCTTGGGTTGTACTTTCTGGCCCATAGTGGTTGGCGGTGGTATGGGCTTCCGTCAGGAGCCGCGCTGAGGGGGTCGGGCGAGACAGAGCCCCCGACCTAGAAGTCGGGCGAGGTATAGCCCATCCCCAGCGGTTGGGCGAGGCGGAGACCGAGGCCTCGGGGTCAGGCGAGGCGGAGCCCATGGCCTCGGGGTCGGGTGAGGTGGAGCATGTGGCCTCGGGGTTGGGCGAGACAGAGCTTGCCCCCAAGGGTCGGGCGAGGCGGAGCCTGTGGCCTCGGGGTCGGGCGAGGCGGAGCCTGCGCACCTGGAGCTCGGTTGAAGCTGTAGTCACGCTTTTGACTGCTCGGACGAATCAATGTTGATGACCATTAGCTCCTCCTCTTCGGATACCCTAGTATTGGTCCCTGACACCCGACGGTGCACCGCCCTCACCATGGCGGTGTACACCATCACTTCCGGTGACCACCCGGCTCCAGCTGCGCTCGGCCAAGTCCAGGTGGGCACCGCCCTAGGGGTGGCGGTGCCACCGGACAACCAGTGGCGGTGCCCTCAGGGCAACACGCTGCTCTTGGCCTCCCAGCCGATCACCGCCACAGGGGTGGCGGTGCAACCTAGACAGCACCCCGTGCCAGTTTCGCCTCCTCTTCTATATCTTTGCAAATATGCTAACACCACCAAGTGTACAACACCTTGTTCACGTGTGTTAGCTTTTCACAAATATTTTCGCAAAGGATTAGCACTCTTTTCACCACGCCACTCGATCTTAGCAACAATGCAAAGTTAGATCACTCGAGTGACACTAGATGACGATATGCAAACAAGTTTGCCCCTCTTGATAGTACGACCATCTATCCTAAATCTGGTCATAAACTTCTCTACACACCTATGACCGGTGAAATAAAATACCCTAGGTTATACCTTTGCCTTACGCATTCCATTCCATCTCCTCTAATGTCGATGCAAGACATGCACCAACGTAATCAATAATGATATGATCCACTCCATATCATCACGTGATCATATTGGTTCATCGATCTTGACTTCACTTGCTCTTCACCGTTGCTTCGGTCCATCGGCGCCAAGTCATTATTCAACTTGCCCTTCACACTTGCAACCGGTTCATCAAGCCAAGTTATGTCTTGGTCTTCTCCACCTTGATCATATGACTCAATGTCATGTCTCATCTACAATGAGCTCCTTCATCATCACTGTGTAAGCTTTGCAACAAGTCCAAACCATTTCACCCCTATGGCATATGTTGCTCACACACATGTACTTATGAACTAATCACCTATGTATTTCACTCAAACACATATTAGTCCACCTAAAGTTGTCACTCAATTACCAAAATCAAACAAGGACCTTTCTACGCGACGCCCGGAAAGGGCAAGTCAAATCACCAACGATAACTGACGGCCTCGACTAACGCGCCCGAAAGGCCGACCGCGACCCAGGCCCAAGCCGCGGCTCAGCGGCGTCGCCGAACCTGGTTGTCCGCGGCCTTGTGTCGCCGCCGCCCCTGGATGGTAGCCGTTAAAATTACTATCACCACTGTCATCACTGTCATCGGCACCCATCCACTCATCCGACGACGTTGGCGGGGTATGCCAATCCTGAAACTCGATGATCCGCAGGCGAACAAGGTATCTGAGAGCTGGGACCTTGTCGTGGATGATTTCATGGGGCCTGAGGTACAACGGTGAGCTACCGTCGTGCTCCTCCTCCGGCTCCGGCACCGCCATAATCATCTCATCTAGCACAAGATCATGATGAGCACACCAGGCTGCCACGAAAAGTTCGCGCTCGTCGTCCGGATCGACCAGAGCGTCGGGGTTGGCAATATCCATCTTGGCACTGGCGGAACCCAAGATGGCATGCGCCGTCGCCGCAGACCTTGCATGGGAGGGGATGCCCTTCATCCCGACGAGGACACGGTAACGGAATGCGCCTGCAAAGCCCATGATTAGGCGGCTCCACCTTCGCCACCGAAGCGCGAAGGGAGCACCCGCCGGCGATGGGGTTCGCAGCACCAGCTCGAGGTCTTCATGATTGGTGAACCGAACGATGAAATCATCATATCTTGGCACCGTCGTTACTCGTTAGCATCAGGCCGGACTTCAAACGCTGCCACTAGTTGACCCGTTTAGTGCTCATCCCAATAGTGCATCGCCTTTTTTCTTTTTCCTGATGAGATGGATTGCATCCCCTTTTGAGTGCCGTGAGGCTTCAGCCGCGGGCGCCGTGCACGCGGGCGACATCGATGTGCCTTCTCCGCTTCCCGTGCCCGGAAAATCAACCAACCCCAGAGGAGGCCCAGAGAAAAAAAAAAACAAACAAACAGACAAACCCGCGCGCGAGATCCGATCCTTCCAGCTCGCGGTTTCACTCCGTTTCAGACAAGGAAAAGATCCCGGAAAAGACGACGGGAAAGGCCGGCCGTCACCGACAAAAGGGACCCCGCAGTTCGAGCCTCCCATCGATCTCCTTCTCCTGCAGCCACTCCACGGCCCCACTCCCTATTAATTAAGCTTCCGCAGCGCCCTGCTGTATCTCGTGCTGGCACAGCACCGTCTTGGCCCCTCCTGCGCGCGCACGCCATGGTGTGGCCGCCGCCGCCGTCGACCGCGCACTTCTTCGTCCTCCTCCTCTCCCTCCTCGCCGCCGCCCCATGGCACCGTGCCACCGCCCAGGCCGCTGGGTACCGCGTCGTATCGGTGGCCAGGGCCAGGGCGGGGCGGCAGCTGTCCGCGCGGCTGGAGCTCGCCGGCGCCGGCCGCAAGCCGGAGCTCGGGCCCGATGTCCAGAGGCTCAGCCTGACCGCGAGGCAAGTACGTTCTTCCTGGATTGATTACTACTAGTACTTGTGTGTTGCTTCCATGCCATGTGTTGTTTATCCTGTTATCCAATCTTCAGCTATACTTTGTGGTTGGGGATAGCGACTAGCGAGTGCTGAACTGGAGATGCTCGTTGGTCAGTTCTTGGGTTGAACAGAGTCTCCAGCTTACGAGCTTAGTGCGTGATGCCGTGATCCCTTCAGAACTCCTGATTGGAAAAAAGGCTTTTACTTATCTTGGTCTGTCTTCTATTCGGATATATAGTTACTTTAACGATCCATTATTGGGGATTTTTTTTTTAATTTACTTTAGCGATCCATTATTTGTGCTTTTACTTAGCTTGGTCCGTCTTCTATTTGTATTTGGCTTACAAGCCATAAGTCATGACTTATTAGCTAATAAATAATATTTTTATCTCATATTAAATTAGTCAATAATACTTTCAGATATGGCTTATAAGCCAAATCAGTCTAAACAAACGGGACGAAGAGCTGATAGATGACTGGGTGATTACGACAATGACCGACAATGACTGGGTGATTACGACAACGTAGAGCTGATAGATGATTGGGTGATTACGACAACGTACCAAACAAGTCATTTCGTAGTTTATTTGCTCCACGAGCCATAAAATTAAATATCAAGGACCAATTTAATGCCATCACACGTGTTTCAGCTAGGGATTTTGTAGATTCTAACCTACCATCACAAGGTGAAAAGACAAGTCCCCACATCGGATTGCAACAAATTCACATTGCCATATATGTTCCCACCTTGTGAATTGTTGCATTCTGCAAGATGCTTTTGACAATGTAGTACAAGATATTAGAAGATCATATTAAAAAAATGGTCTTGTTACAGTTCGGCGGAGTATTGCATTTGTGTTTGTGTTGAGTTTTAAATTGTGAGAGAGCTTCTAGCAGCAGACAGCACCTTGCTCATATGTTCTGCTAAAAAAAGAAGGGAGTATCTACCGGACATGGAGTGTTTTAGGGAAAGGTGACACCTGAGTGTCACATTCCTTAAAATCACTCGATTCCAACAAACAAATACAATCAAGTGTTCACATCTCAGCCATCACTCGATATCTATAATCGCTGGATCCAGATCTAACGATACAAAATAAATACAAAAATTAAATAATAAAATAGCAAAAAAATACCAGATAATTACTATGAAGTGCTAATTGGAAGAAATTCAAAGAAAAAGCAAATAAAACATACAAACAACAAATAACAAATCAGAAAAATAACCGGATCATTTATATAGAAGCCAAATTGGAAAATTTCAAAGGCGAACCAAATAAAACATACAGACGTTCAAAAAAGCCAAAAAGTCACTCGAGGAATCGAGTGATCAGAGTCCTAAAATCACTCGAGCTGTAGATTTACCGAAAAAGAAAGCACCTTGCTAATATGTGAACGGTAAAGAAAGGGCAAAAAAGAAATAAAAACAATCCCGCACAACGCATGATCACCAGTGGGACTCGAATCCACAGTCTCCCGCTCCGGAGGCGAGCGCCTTATCCATTAGGCCATGCGACCAGCGCATTTTGCTTGAAATTCCACAGGCTTATTAATGTTTTTTTTTCTAACGTTTTTTACTACCCAACCACGCCGGCGGCAGCTTTGAGACGGACAGCCGGCTGCACGTCCGCATCACCGACGCCGACCACCAGCGATGGGAGGTTCCCCAGAGCGTCATCCCGCGGGAGGCGCCGCGGGACGTCACCCTGGAAGCCAGCACGGGCGCCTCGCCGCGCAGCTGCGTCCTCTCCGCGGCGACGTCCGACCTGACCTTCACCCTGCACGCCTCTCCGTTCCGCTTCACCGTGTCCCGCCGCTCCAGCGGCGACGTCCTCTTCGACACCTCCGCGGCACTGGTGTTCAAGAACAGGTACCTGGAGCTGACCACGGCGCTGCCGGCGGACCGGGCGTCGCTGTACGGGCTGGGCGAGCACACGAAGCGCACGTTCCGGCTGCAGCGCAACGACACCTTCACGCTCTGGAACGCCGACATCGCCGCCTCCAACGTGGACCTCAACCTCTACGGCTCCCAACCGTTCTACCTCGACGTGCGCCCCGCCGCAGGCGCCGCGCACGGCGTGCTCCTGCTCAACAGCAACGGCATGGACGTCGAGTACGGCGGCTCGTACCTCACCTACAAGGTCATCGGCGGCGTGCTCGACTTCTACTTCTTCGCCGGCCCCGCCCCGCTCGACGTCGTCGACCAGTACACCCAGCTCATCGGCCGCCCGGCTCCCATGCCGTACTGGTCATTTGGTACGGCCAGCTGCCAACCAGTTGTTGCTTTGCTTCCATGGATGGATTCACTCTGTTCTTGCAGCTGATCGAGCATTTGCAATGGCGATCCGTTCCGGTTCGTTGCAGGGTTCCACCAGTGCAGGTACGGGTACAAGAACCTGGCTGACCTGGAGGGCGTGGTGGCCGGGTACGCCAAGGCCAGGATCCCGCTGGAGGTGATGTGGACGGACATCGACTACATGGACGCGTTCAAGGACTTCACGCTGGATCCGGTGAACTTCCCGGCCGGCCCCATGCGGCAGTTCGTCGACCGCCTTCACCGGAACGGCCAGAAATACGTCGTCATCATAGACCCAGGTACCAGGAAATGGCGATCGATGTGCTGGCTGCCACAGTGCCACTGCCATTGCTTGACTTGGTGACGACTGACGCGCATATGCAGGGATCAACGTGAACGAGACGTACGGGACGTTCGTCCGAGGGATGCAGCAGGACGTGTTCCTGAAGCGGAACGGCACGAACTACCTCGGCAAGGTGTGGCCAGGGTACGTCTACTTCCCGGACTTCTTCAACCCACGCGCCGTCGAGTTCTGGGCGCGCGAGATCGCCCTGTTCCGGCGGACGCTCCCCGTTGACGGCCTCTGGATCGACATGAACGAGATCTCCAACTTCGTCGACCCGGCGCCGCTCAACGCGCTGGACAACCCGCCGTACCGCATCAACAACTCCGGCGTGCGCCGCCCCATCAACAACAAGACCACGCCGGCGTCCGCTGTGCACTACGGCGGCGTGCGCGAGTACGACGCGCACAACCTCTTCGGGTTCCTGGAGGCGCGCGCCACGCACGGCGCGCTGCTCGCCGACACCGGCCGCCGGCCCTTCGTGCTCAGCCGGTCCACGTTCGTGGGGTCCGGCCGGTACACCGCGCACTGGACCGGCGACAACGCCGCCACGTGGGACGACCTCCGCTACTCCATCAACACCATGCTCAGCTTCGGCCTCTTCGGCATCCCCATGGTTGGCGCCGACATCTGCGGCTTCGGCGGCAACACCACCGAGGAGCTCTGCAGTCGCTGGATCCAGGTACAAGCTTTTGTCCAAGGCAGCCTATCTACCGGCATGCCAAGTCCACTGACACGTATGAGCTGAGCTGAGCTTTCGTGTTTGCTCGTGGTGAAGCTTGGCGCGTTCTACCCGTTCGCAAGGGACCATTCGGACATCGGCACGATCCGGCGCGAGCTATACCTGTGGGAGCTGGTGGCGCGGTCGGCGAGGAAGGCGCTCGGCCTTCGCTACCGGCTGCTGCCGTACATGTACACGCTGATGCACGAGGCGCACACCACGGGGGCGCCCATCGCGAGGCCGCTCTTCCTCTCCTACCCCAAGGACGTGGCCACGTACGGCGTGGACCGGCAGTTCCTGCTGGGTCGCGGCGTGCTCGTGTCGCCGGTGCTCGAGCCGGGGGCCACCACTGTCGACGCCTACTTCCCGGCCGGCCGGTGGTTCAGCCTCTTCGACTACACGCTCGCCGTCGCCTCGGCGACGGGCAAGCGCGTCACCCTCCCGGCGCCCGCGGACACGGTCAACGTGCACGTGGCCGGCGGCAACATCCTGCCGCTGCAGCTGCCGGCGCTGACGACGTCGCGGGCGCGCCAGACCGTGTTCCACCTCCTGGTCGCGCTCGACGAGGACGGATCCGCGTCCGGGGAGCTGTTCCTGGACGACGGCGAGTCGCCAGAGATGGCCGGGCCGCGGGGCGAGTGGAGCCTGGTGCGGTTCAGCTGCGCGGCGGGGCGCGACGGGGTCACCGTGAGGTCGCATGTGGTGCACAACGCGTACGGGCCGAGCCGGAAGCTGGTCATC